TTCGCGCATGGATAAATACAGTGAACACCGTGAATGGGACCTTGACCTCCACGAGGGAGTTATTTTTGGAAGTTAATTCGAACTTTTCTCTTTGCTCATTTTGTGAAGAATCCAGGCGTGAATGTATTTGTTGATTGTATGGGAACCCGACAACAGTCGGTAGATTCTATAACAGCATCGTTATTTGACATGTCGTCTGAAACTGAGGAACCGTGGATCCGAGACGCGTGAAACTGATAGCGTTTGAAGTGAATGATTTTGCGACGGAGTACAGGTTCGTTACACATGTCTGAAATGACGAATGTTTATGTGTGCTGTGACTCATATCAGTAGGTCTGTAACATATATGTCAGTAGGTCTATAGAATATGTGTATTTCAGACATTTATAACGAACCCCTGTTGATCAGTGCAGTGTAACAGACGATATTTCTGATAAATTGCATGAGCGTTAAAATTGTTTCCATTGCCGGCATTGGTGATTTCAACCGATGTGCATTTTGTACGATATTGCAGACCTTGGTCTTGTTTTCGTTGTAATAAAAGTGTTTTTTATTTTATTTTTCTATTTTGCACATAAATTTACAATGACATTATCAAATCTCACAATGCCCAGCGATATTTCAGCAGCCGTCATGTTTATTTACTTTGGATATTGTAGTTCCGGTCAGTGTTGTAATTAATACGCTAAGAATTGTGTCTCGTGCGGCATGGTTATTATGTCTCGTGTGGCATGGTAATTAAAGTCCCATCAACGACACAGCTCTCAAAGAGGCTATATAGTGACAATGCCATGTAAATGTAAATATATATATATATTTACGAATAAGCCCTTTGGATTACTTCAAACTTAACTTCAATGATTTGTATCCAGAGAGAATTTATGCAGAGTATTTTACAATAAATTTTGTCCTTTTTTATGTGTAAAAAAATAATTTGTTCAATGCTATAAAAACTGGATTTATATGAAGTTTCTTTTAAAAATAAGAAGAATATGCGAAATCACAATTTTTGTCATTTTTCAATACCCATCATTCCAGCCAAGAGAGTCAATAGATCTATATATATATATATTGTGGATGAATACATTTGTTTCAGCAACTTACTGACTACATGTTTTATATGTCTCTGCTTTATGTATAGTTTTAGCAATAGAGAAAATGTATTGTTTCCTCAATTTGAAATTGAATCAGTTCAGCACATAAAAGTGTGTGTTTTTTTTAAATCGTGCAGATTTGTAAAACAGCAGATTTTCTTTAATGAGTAAAAAAATAGCTGTGAGATAGTAATCGAAAATGAAAATGTTACAGTATGGATTCAATTTTTTTTTCTGTTTTTTTTTCGTGCAAAATATCAATTAAAAAATTCTTATGAAAATACTTCTATGTTTTTTTATCCTATCATTTTGCGTCACCGTGATAAACTCATATATAAATATATTACCACTGCAATCTCTACCCAGAGTTGTCGTAGGGAGTGCAAGGACCGTAACTCTGCGTGATAGTCTCGTTCAACCAGAATCTTGTTGTCTGCGCAAGCGTCTGATTGACCGAGACTACACTGCCGATACAATAATTTTTCGACCATTCAGAACTAGAGCAATATAGCCGGTAACGTTATGTCAAGAGAGTTTACATCTTTAACCGGAAAATATCTACTATTTAAGTATCCTTTAGTCAGATATAAGTTTTAAATCTTACAAAAATGTAACGTTTGTTCGAGATTCGGCAAACGAGAACTTGTTTCGAGATCAAGATGGCGGAGACTACAGCGCGTGCGACTGGCGGCCATGTTAAGACAAGTTTTTCAGTTCCATAGGTATTGTGAATAATCTTTATTTTTCTTACATACGTGTTACCTATAGGGAGAGTTTTGTTCTCACGGGCCCTTCAGGCCCGTGAGAGAGCTCCGCCCTCTATTATATAAACTTATTGTAATTATATACCGCACCATCCACCCAAGACCATTTTATACTGCACCTGGGTTGTTGGAGTTGTGTGGGCAGGAGTAAAACACTTTCTTTGATATTTCATGCGAGCGATGACTTCGATGATGGAACCCCGGCCGCCTGCTTGGAAGGCCGAAGTATTAACCATCGACCAATCCGCTCATGACTATACCAGTAGTTTATCAATCATAGGTATTCTACTTTTTAGCTGATACTGATATGGTGTGTTTCTGTTCGTGCTCTGGTACTTGATCCAACGCATGGAATTTAGTACCGTTGGGTTAAAACACTACACAACTCTATACATTTCATAAATGACAACGGTTTATTGAGTAGTTATTTCACTCATTTATTTCATTCAAGTATAATATCGCAATCCATTACATTGTTTGCGCCTAGAAGCGTTTAAGCTGCATACGCTTTCTTCTTGAAGAACTTTCATTATGAAGTCCTCTCTTTTAATCATACCTGTAAAAGTAAAGTGAAAACCAATTAAAAGCAGTAATTAAACAGACATAAATTGTAAATGTAAACAAAAAGTATTACAAATGATAAATTGTTTTACCATATTCTAGACTTTGACCAACAAACTTATTAATTTAGCAAACATAGTGTAATTGTAATTCAGGTAAGCGATGAATACAAATTGAAACCAATAACTGGTATATGAATAGCAGGAATACATTTTGATTGGTTAGATATGTCTCTTATTGGTATTCATAAGGTAAGCGATGAATACAAATTGAACCCAAGTACTGTTATATGAATAGTAGGAATACATTTTAATTGGTTAGATATGTCTCCTATTGGTATCTTACATTGAATTAATAAATCGATCGTGGGGAACTACCCGTGGTGGTGGATACCAGTACAACATACTCTTCCATGTCCTCCACACTTTGAATGACAAAATCTTTTTATATCAATCGCGGGTGGTTTACATGGACTGGTGATACATTGGCAGTGGAGTGGACGTTGAAAACCTGCATCAGTAAAAACATATTAAAACCCACTGTAGTGTCATTAGGAAAACTCACAGAAGTGCCAACTTAGAGGAAAGGTGAATGTGAAAAACTAATGTGATTGCACATATATAAGTTTCTAACATATGTAGTATCCTAAATATTAATGGCACTGAATAACCCAGCTGTTTCGTCTTTTGTGGGAATCATATATAAATGAAGCACAGGTTAAAACATATTCCGCAGTATAAACATCCTTTACAACGCAGTATCAACACTCAAGAAAAGAAAAGAAATCATAGTGTCAACTCACAAATGTGTCATAGTGTCAATACACAGAAAACATTTACCATAGTGTCAGCACACAAATACGTCATAGCGTCAATACGCAGAAGGCAAAAACCATAGTGTCAACACACAAATACGTCATAGTGTCAATACGCAGAATTCATAAACCATAGTGTCAATACACAAACACGTCATAGTGTTAATACGCAGAAAACAAATACCAAAGTGACAACACACATATACATTGTACAAGTGTACGTCACAGTGTCAATACTCAGAAAACATACCGTAGTGTCAATACACAAATACGGCAAAGTGTCAATACGCATAAAATACATACAATATGATGTTAATTATCACAAACAAATAATAACAAAGTGCCAAATAAATACACCATGATATAAACAGCAAAAACATAAATTAAATTGTCAACACACAAATATACCGTAGTATCAACACTGTAGGAAACATATACCACAGTGTCAACATACAAATGCAACCCAAATACATACACAAGATATATCAACACAAGATTGTAGCACCTATAAAGTTATAATACAGGATTCAAATAAAGTTATAATACAGGATTAGTTCAAACGAATGAATTCGTATTCATGGAAAATATTCAAGAAAATAAAGGAGTTAAGTCAAAGCGAAAATACAACCACGGGAACCGAAGAGATATACAGAACAAACAAACAAAGAAACATCTACAAAAAGCGTTGAAATGAGTTTGCGGTTGTATCAAAACACAACAGTTAAATGTGCTTATATTGAGATATGAAGTGGTTTTCAACATGCCATTCGTTGAATAACTTTTTGCCGTTCAATAAACATTTACTACAAGATTACAAGACAAAATTATCTATGGACATTCGAAAATAGCATTTACTACATTTAGACATGTAATTAGAGATAAGAGAAGATATTACACAACATTTTGATAAATGTTAAAACAAAAATCAAAACCAAAGAAAATAGTCTTGAATATACTCTAACCTATCATAAAATTAAAAAAATAGCAGCATATTGTCAATATTTCCATATCATTTATTTGATTAAAATCGTGTTTAGTTCCAAATGTGAACAATTGGAGGATATATTATGGTGTGTGCAGTAATAACAAATATATTTAACGAGTGTGGCTAATATTTTGATATTAATATTATGCGCAGCACGAGTGGCTAAAATATCAAAATATTAGCCTAACAAGTGAAATATATTTGATATCACTGAACATACCATTAAAGTTTCTGTTTATTACATTTTTAAAGCATAAACACATAAAATAAACGTTTTCTGCTATTTTTTGTATGATTGCTTATGAAAATGTTTTTAATTGAATATAAATGTAAATAATGAAGTGTGTATACCAAATATTTACCATAACAACCAGTTATTTTACTGTCGTTTCATTTAAATCTGAACAAAAAATCGGTGCTTTTGAATGCAGGGAATAAATTTACCGTTATAATTGGTCAATACCAAAAAGTGATATTTTAACATTGTGGAAATATCACTTTTGTTATTTGTCACAGTGTGAAAGACATCAGTTTTATCAAGTTAACAGAATCCGATATTTCACTAGCAAAAATGTAAAAAAAAAACACTATATTTCATCAGTACATTTGATTTGGTAATTAAGTATTAAAATATTACGAAGTAAATTTATTCCAGATTTGTTTTAGTGTATATGTATGTAGGACATTTGTCACGGATTAGTTTATCAAGATTGATAGTTACGTATACATTATTCATGTAGAACGTAACATTTAATTAAATATCCAGTATCGCTACGATATTAACTCGAAGCATTACATTCACACCGTTTGTAACATGTAGTGAAAACATTGTAACGCTAACACTCACCGTCTACCGGGGCAGTACCAAGGAACATCAGACCTACGGTCACCAACAAAATGGTGAATACTAGTTGGCGATTCATCTCCGTTTGTAACATGTAGTGAAAACATTGTAACGCTTACACTCACCGTCTACCGGGGCAGTACCAAGGAACATCAGACCTACTGTCGCCAACACAATGGTGAATACTAGTTGGCTATTCATCTCCGTTTGTAACATGTAGTGAAAACATTGTAACGCTAATACTCACCGTCTACCGGGGCAGTACCACGTAACATCAGACCTACGGTCGCTAACACAATGGTGAATACTAGTTGGCTATTCATCTCCGTTTGTAACATGTAGTGAAAACATTGTAACGCTAATACTCACCGTCTACCGGGGCAGTACCAAGGAACATCAGACCTACAGTCGCTAACACAATGGTGAATACTAGTTGGCTATTCATCTCCGTTTGTGACATGTAGTGAAAACACTGTAACGCTAATACTCACCGTCTACCGGGGCAGTACTAAGGAACATCAGACTTACGGTCGCTAACACAATGGTGAATACTAGTTCGCTATTCATCTCCGTTCGTAACATGTAGTGAAAACATTGTAACGCTAACACTCACTGTCTACCGGGGCAGTACCAAGGAACATCAGACCTACGGTCGCTAACACAATGGTGAATACTAGTTCGCTATTCATCTCCGTTCGTAACATGTAGTGAAAACATTGTAACGCTAACACTCACTGTCTACCGGGGCAGTACCAAGGAACATCAGACCTACTGTCGCTAACACAATGGTGAATACTAGTTGGCTATTCATCTCCGTTTGTAACATGTAGTGAAAACATTGTAACGCTAATACTCACCGTCTACCGGGGCAGTACCAAGGAACATCAGACCTACTGTCGCTAACACAATGGTGAATACTAGTTGGCTATTCATCTCTATTTGCTGATAACTTTCTTGGTCTCGATTAATGGGCTTCGTTGTGAGTATTTATAAGCCAGTAAAATATGCACAATGACGTTCATCAACATTTTTAACATTTTGCAGTCGATCCGTTATACATACAAATGAAGATTGACTATGTGTCGATATATGCAGACATTTTTGTCAAAACAGCTTTTTCCGCGATGATAAACAGTTATAACAAAAGAAATATCCGTATGAATCCAACAAATTGGTTAATTCATCTTGTATCAGGTTTTTTCCTTTAGAGATGTTTCCTGTTAGGTACGAATTAAAAACACGGAGAACATGTCTTGAATGGTATATTTCATGTTGAGAACGAGAAGCAAGAATTTCGTGTCGATACACAGTATGTATGTGAGTGTGTGTGTGTGTGTATGAGAGAGAGTGTACTTCTGCTAGCGATGCACATTGTGATTTACATATAATAGAAAACGTGTTTGTGTAGAAAATGGTTAATGACAATTTGACAGAAAAAGGATATCGTCACTTAGCCTAATAGTTGACCTTAATAAAGGTAACCCCCTTCTTAGTTCACTTAGTTTGACATTTACATACTTATCATTCCATACTCATAAGCAAACTCATTAAAGATAATTAATGTTCGTTTCAACCTAGTTTGTTGGGGACTAGAACCGAAAACTGCACCTAACCACTAATTTTCATTGGTAAAATCGGAAGTCAAGTGTTCGAATCCTGACATGTTCATATTAAAATCTGACTGTCAGAACACTGATGTTGTTTTGTTTCTCCACGTGGTATGTGATTTTTTCAGATCGATTTATTTCAGCTATTTCATGTTCCCAATTCTTACAGTACATCACTTTTCGAAGTTTCATATTTCAGGTACTTTTTTATCGTAATCAGCATTTGTGAGAATTCCTGCTAGTTGTGGTGTAAACTATTGTGAACACGACCCTTCACACAAACATGCAAGAAAACGTAGATTTCCTGTCAACACATGGACTTGAAGTTTTTTGGTAAGCAATATGACAATATCGTGAAAATGTATTTAATCATCTTGGTATTTTAAAATATTTCCATGTTTCATACTTATGTTGTGTCTTTCTTATGCCATACCAGTTACAGGTGCAGAGGGTTCGAAATGTCGTATGTTAACAAATAACGTGTTAATATTTAAATAATGATTATATTCTCTTTCTTTTGCAATGTCAAGTTCTAGCAAGGTGAAATATTAGATGAAGGTGTATAGGTGATAGTGTGTCATTCTTGACCACTTTTGATATTTTAAATGTTTATTTGTGTCCGTTATGTGTTTCTTTTGTGTGTCTTTTCTCTGTGTTCAGTTCTTGATTTCATCTCTTGTGTCAGACATCACGCCGGGCAAATACTGTTACTGCTGTGTAGTTTCCGTCGGCCAATTTTCACTGCCTGCTGTAACTCCATACATTGTTGTATTCATTGTAATTTCTGAAACAGTTTTGGAGGGAATTGAGATATTATCTGCCAATTGCCAGGGCCTTGGTGACAAGGTTAAGCGCAGAGATGTTTTTACTTATTTAAGAGATAGGTAATACAATATCTACTGTCTGCAAGATACTCACTTTACCGAAGAACAGGGAGAAATCTTACTGAGTGAATGGGGCTATAACTGCTACTTTAATTCTTTTAAATCTATTGCAAGGGGGTATCAATACTTATCAATAATAATTTTGAAGTCAAGGTGATAAAGAAAAAAAAAAGACTTAACAGGGAATTTTTTGGCATTGGGTCTAGAAATTGAAGGTAAGAAAATAACTTTAATTACATTGTATGGTCCAAACCCTGACAACCCAACTCTTTATGATAAAATAGAAGAAACTCTCTATGAGTTTAAAAATGATAGCTGTTTTGTTTGTGGGGATTTTAATTTAGTTCTTAATCCTGATTGAGATTGTGATAAAAACTATAAAAATGATAATAATCCAAAGGCTCGTGATAGGGTATTAGAAATATTAGATAACTTTGATTTAGTAGATGTTTTTAGAGAACAGCATGCTGACATTTCCAGATATACATGGCGTAGGAGTAAACCTATCAAGCAGGCTAGGTTAGATTTCTTTTTGGTTTCTAGGAACTTATTACAAAGTGTAGATGAGACAAGTATAGATCCAGGTTACAGATCAGACCATTCTTTCCTAAAAATATGTTAAAATTTAACGGATTGAAAAAAGGTAAAGGTTAATGGAAGCTAAATAGTTCCTTATTACATCACCAGGAATATCTTAATATAATTAATGATATTATTAAAACAGTTAAATTACAGTACTGCCTTCCTATATACAATCCTGAAAATATTGATGATATACCTGATTCAGATTTAAAGTTTGTTATTTTTAGAAACAATTTTAATGGAAATTAGAGGTAAGTCAATTTTATATTCTTCCTATAAAAAGAAACAGTTTTGTGCAAGGGAAAAGACCTTAATAGATCAAATACAGGAACAGGAAATTGAGAATAATGTAGACGTAGTCAAATTACTTCAGAAAAAAAAGGAATTGGAAAAGATTAGAGTACATAGGATAAAAGGGAGTATAATCCGTGCAAAAGCCTTATGGATTGATGAGGGTGAAAAACCTACCAAGTATTTTTTTAATTTAGAAAATAGACATTTTATATCAAAAATCATTCCAAAGTTACAACGGGAGAATGGGGAATTTTTAACTAAACAAGTAGTTGTATTAAATGAGGTGAATTTTTTTATGAACAATTGTATTCTGTCGATAATGAAGTCGATGACATAGATTTGGATGAATTTCTAGAAGATTTTGATGTTCCAATTTAAATGTTGAAGAAGCAGTCAGTTTTGGATGTATTATTACACTTAAAAAAGCATCTGAAACACTAAAGAATATGAAAAGTAATAAGAGCCCAGGCTCAGATGGATTCACATCGGAATTTTTTAAATGTTTTTGGAATCAGTTAGGTAATTTTGTGGTTAGGGCATTAAATTATGGTTTTTCAAACAGTCAGCTGTCTATTACATAACGTCAGGGAATAATTACTTGTATACCTAAGGTTAATAAATCAAAGTATTTTATAAAGAATTGGAGACCTATTTCTCTATTAAACATTGTATACAAAATTGCTTCTGGATCAATAACAAGTAGATTAAAATTAGTTTTACAAAAAATTATAAACTCTGATCAAACAGGATTTATATCGGGACGTTATGGAGGAGAAAATACTCGCCTGGTTATGACATTATGCAATATACAGAGGAAAATGATATCCTTGAAATGTATTAATGGTTGATTTTGAAAAGGCATTCGATTCTGTCTCTTGGAAATTCATAGACAAAATACTTAGATATTTTGGATTTGGAAACGATATCAGAAATTGGGTCAAAGTTTTACACTGTAATTCAAGTTCTGCTATAAACCAGGGGGGTAATTTATCAGCATTTATCAAAGTAAATCCTTGTTGTCGTCATGGAGATCCCATCGCTCCATATATTTTTATACTATGTGCAGAAGTATTAGCAATCCGCCTTAGAAACAATAAGAGTATTACTGGTATAAATGTTAACAAATGTCCCATCTTAAACTCTCAGTATGCAGATGACACTTCTCTGGTATTAGATGGTTCGGAAAAATCACTGAAAGGGGCGGTCGATGAACTAAATATTTATGCAAAAATATCTGGTCTTAAAGTAAATGCAGGTAAAACTGAAGTTGTCTGGATAGGCAGTAAAAAATACAGCAATGATGTTCTCCTTCCAAATATGAATCTTAGATGGGGAGTTAATAAATTTACTCTTCTTGGGATAGATTTCCATGCAGATCTTTACAAAATACCTAAAATGAACTTTGATAAAAAAAATAGTTAAACTTAAAGCTCTTATTAAGAGCTGGAGTAGAAGGTTGCTCACACCTATTGGTAGAATTAATATCATTAAATCTTTATTAATTTCTCAGATGAATCATCTGTTTATTTCCTGACCTAATCCATCTGAAAAATTTATAAAAAAGCTCAATTATGTTCTTTTCAATTTTTTATGGAATAGCAAATCTGATAAGATTAAACGGTACATAATAATTCAAAATTATCAAGAAGGTGGGCTAAAATGGTTAATTTAATGTCTTTTATTGAAGCTCTGAAACTTAGTTGGATAAAAAAAAAATTAGATCAGAAGGTAAATGGGAAAGCATTTTAAAATCTTGTGTAAATCCTCATATCTTGGCTAACTCAGGAAACGAGTACTTAATAAAATTCAAGGAAATTGCAAAATGTTTTTGAAGGTTGTGTTTAGGGCATGGTATAAATTAAGAGCAAAAGAGGAGCTGTTTAAAAATGAGAATTTTGCCCTACTGAAGACACCCTTATGGTATAACAAAAATATTTCCGTTGGGAATTAAGTTGTTTTTTATCGTAAGTGGTTTAAAAATGGGAATATGATAATTAATGATTTGTTGAAAAACAACACAGACTACTCTTTCTTGTCTTTTAAGGAATTTTGTGATCTACATGGTACAATAACTAATTATCTAGAATATCATGGCTTGATAACAAGCATAAAGAATTATCTGAAACAACTTAATTTGCCAAACAAAAATGTGATATACCCAATTATACCGTTACATCTTGTAATAATTTTAAAGAGGAAAAGGGTTTTCAAGACTTCAATAATATACTTATCAGAAATAATGCATCACTAACTGCTCAAACAAAATGGGGGACCATATTCGACTATAATCAGAAAACTTTGGGGAAAATGTATGCTATTCCTTTCAGGGTAACAAAAAATACAAAATTGCAATGGTTGCAATTTAGAATTAATCCTTATATTTTAACAACTAATTCTTATTTATACAAAATTGGACTTGTAAATAACCCACACTGTGTTTTTTGTATCATAGAAAGGGAGACAATTACCCACGTTTTATGGGAATGCAGGGAAGTACAAACATTTCTGAGCAATTTTGAAAGTCTTTTAAGTTCTCTGACTATTCCTTTCTCACTAAATAAAGAATCAATGATCTTTGGTTTTATCAACCAAACTGGAATTTATATC